GCCCGCCTTCTGCTTCGATACAGGCTTCGATTCGTCTTTTCATCGAGTCGACGGTGCGCCGAAGGTAGTTGATGTCCAAACTGTTCCAGATTTTGCACACTTCCTTTCGCAAAGCCACCAAACTTTTCACGTTTCTCTTCCTTAGTTCCTCTTCCATATAACCCCAAACAGCAAAGTCCAAAGGATTCAAATCTGGGCTGTTAGAAGGCCACAGATCTTTCGTCAGAAAGGAGCCAATTTCGGTCTCGAGGAACTGAATGGTGGATCTCGCTGCATGGGCCGGAGCCCAGTCCTGCTGGAAGATGAAGTTGGGATGATTTTGCTTCCAGGGTAGCACAGCTTCTTCAAGGATTTCTTTTTGGTAGAACTTCGCATCAATTTTCACATTTTTGTCTATGAAAATCAACGAAGTCTTGTCTGATGCACTGATACCACCCCAAACCATTAAACTTTTGGGAAACAAACTTCTTGTGGCAATTTTTCTCTTCCGGGTGTTCTTAAGAGCTGGACTGAGAAGTTGGCGGTGATTCTGAGGGTTTTTAGCCACTTCCACAGTGAAGACTTTTTCGTCAGACCAAAGAACGTCCTCAATTCGGCGCACCTTGAAAAACTCCCGCAGTTTCTTGCATTTTTCTTTTCGACTTTGCTTTGTCTTTTCGGTGAGAACATGTCCATTCAATAGGCGATAACTTCGAAGCCCAAGCTCATTTTTCACTATCATTTGAACGGACTTTCTGGAGATCTCGAGCTGCTCTGCCATTTTGTTCATGCTCCGATCATCCTTACGGTCAATTCTCTTCTTTATAATACCACGCATCCTCCTTGTGTTGACAGTCCGCTTCCTTCCTCTTCCCGGCTTGGTTAAGACGTGTCCTTCCTCCTTCCATTGCTTCACAATCTTTTGAACTGTTCTCAGAGGAATTCTGAGCTTCGACGAAATTGCACTGTTCTTCATCCCGCCGCTGGCTAGGCGTGCAATCTCCTCGCGACTTGTGCAGGCCTGCACCATGGTCTTGAGAACAACTTTCTCTTCACAGGCTGATTGTTGAAGATGCAAAGAAAGCAACTGATGCGTAAAAGCTGACTTTGATGCTCAAAGCAGTCACGTGATCGCGTCAAAATTTGCGCGCACGTAATTTTTCGCCACCCTTTAGGTCGCTCCCTACATTGTAGTGATGCTAGCTTTTGCACGGAGTGCGAATGCTGCCAGCACTACACCACTCGCGAAGCTACTATCGTTGCCCCTCCGCACAGTGATCTTGAAGCCACATAGACTGCCAGTATTGAATAGGACCTATGAGATTGTAAAATATTGAACTGTTGTTGCCCGTACGCTCAATCATAATAGACGCCGATTTATCGCTTTATTTCTCAGTGTGCACTGCAATGGGATCCGCTTTGTGATTGTGTATTTTGTTCATTTCTCTCTAATGTAATTTGTAAATTCAGATCTGTCAGAACGCGCTTAGCACTCTGGGTGTTGTCGACTATCAATTACGTTCTGATATTTACGAGCTTTTCCTCCCGGATAAGGAGCCAGAGGTTTTCTCTCAGCAGTTAGTTCTCTAGTTTTATTTATTTAATCAGCATTTTTAGGTTGATCTCATTATGATTCATGGTCTTTGTGGAAGTGTAGCGTATACATGGCGTCAGAAAGACCACTCCAGTAATATTGTTTCTGATTGTTGGCCGAAGGTTATTTTCGCGCTTCTGGCACTTTGTGACCAACATTAATCGACCACTTTAAAACAGGACTGGCTCCATCTCGATATTCCCCAGCCAATGCGAATACTTGGTATGGATTATCCATCTTCTTTAATGCAGTTCACTGGTATTATGGAAAGTTTGCAGGTACCTTGAGCATGTTGTATTCTTTTTTTTTTCGGTGCTAGCCTAATGTAGAGGGGCGCCTTTTCAACCTATCCTCTCGGCCACGCGCAGTATCACGGCATACGTGTGATAGATTTACATCGTGTGATAAGTGCTAACGTCAGAAGACGTCATTGTGACGCCTGGTCTAATTTTTTTTCGTATTTTTTCTCACTTTTGACGCTATTTGTTGTGAGTTGGTACAAAGACCAAGTTAGGAGTGGAAAGAACTCTGGGGAGGATGAAAAGTGCTGACAATGCCGGAATGTGTCCCTCTGAGGCTGTGCTGACAATGCCGGAATGTGTCCCTCTGAGGCTAAGTACTTAAACTGGGCGTTACCTAAACCCAGTATTTTTCAACTCAACAATGCCGTTAAAAGTATACAGAAAACGATCAAATGTTGTGCCAACCAAAACCAATTGCATTTATAATAGAAACGGAAGAAATTGGTGTAAAAATGAATCCTAGAGCACAGAAATTGAACATTTGTGAAACCGATCCCCGTTCGCGGGACTTGGAAATACTGAAAATGAATATGAAAGCTTATCTCACGTAACGTAGGTTTGAGCTGTAGCTGCGCGCGATGCATACTGTGAGGCGTAATGTTTGCGTCGTGGTAAATGCGGCTGACAAACTAGGCATGAAAGGCTTTCTTCCATATTAGGGTTAGCACCTATTCTACTGTTGATTTATGATGTTTGTGAGTGTAGGTTCGAGCAGATCGTTTCAAATACCAGTTGGAAGCTGCTGGCATTGGCAGACGACCAATTATTTTTATCTGCCATAGTATGGGTGGTTTGCTCGCCAAACGATTGTTGTTAGATCTCCCAGCTCTGGCAGAGAAAACAGTAGGTTTTTTCGAAGCGTTCTCATTGGGCACTTCACTCATACGAACTTGGGGTGTGGTGGGCGATAAGGTTTTAACTCAACTTTTTCTCAGGTTGGAATACTGTTCGTAGCTACACCTCATCGAGGATCGCCAATAGCCGCATGGGGATATTCGATACTCCATCCAACTCCAGACGTTCTGTTTTTGTTGGAAGAAAATCCTATGAATAAAAAGGCAGGTGATGTTGAAAGTATAGTGCAACTGTGCGACTTCCAGTCAAATGTTTCGTCATATTTTGCAGTTAAATGAAGACTTCTCAAAGGTCAGCGACAAGATTCCTGTAATCGTAAGTATGGCAGAGACTAAGGAATCTGATCTCATAGGTAGAAGATTTTTTCATATTAGATAGTGTTAAAGATTGTTTACCAGTAAAAAGTGAATCCAATGTCAGCACAGGTTTTTCTGCATTCTCTTTAAAAACTATTCATTTTACTACCTAATATATTCCTGAGTATCCTTTCTTTTAGGTAAGGCAAAGGGTATCATAGTACCAACTCAATCTGCTGTTTTTGAAAGAGGAGCAGTTTACCATATAGATGAAGTGAGTTCACATAGAGATTTGATTTCATACTCTTTGCTTTCTTAATGGAATGTACGTGTGAGTTAAAGCGAGGGATTACGATAAGTTTGGACTGGGTTCATAGTGGAAGTGGAGATGCTGAATAATGCCCCAGTGGCGAAAAAAGCAAAGAAATCCGTCAAGAAGGCGCAAAATGGGACCCTTTCTTTGCCCGTTGACCTCCGATAATGGACGAGCTAGCAACCAATTAGGAGGTCGTTTGCACATGTTATGCTGATAGCCTCTATCATTTCAGCAAGCATCATGCTTTGATTGATCACGCATCCCATGAAAAGTTATAGGATACACTCTGGAAGTGGAATATCTCGTCACATTGGCAATCGAAGGGCGCTGCTGCTGGGGGCGGAGCACAGACCGTGGCGGGGCTCAGAAAGGAATGGCAAGCCTTGTACGCTGCAACTAGCGCACCTTTGACCACAAAAACGCAACATTTCGTTTCCTTGGGCCCCTGACTACTGCTTCCAATGGTGCATGTACTTCCACGCTGCATACGCACTTTATCGTAATCTCTCGCTTTAAGTAGTACCAATCGCGAAGATACAATTTCGCAGGGGTTGTTCACGCTAAGCCTACCCTATGTAACGTAGGGATAGGTGTCGGAAATACACGTCGCGGCTGCTATGCAACAAGTTTGTGGTTTTTCGGAGTCTTTACCCCTCAATTTTCTGCTCCCGTCCTCTTCTCTTTCACGTGTGGTGACTAAAAGCCGCTTGTCACAACAAACTGCAGCTCGCTCTAGTCGCAGCGCGAGAATCGAATATCTCATTTTCGCGGGCAACATGGCAAAAGCGCGTGGTGAGTGGTGGCGTAGATTTGTTAGGACGCCGCGATTAGCCTTCAATGAAAAATACGCAACGCATCGCCAAGCCCTCTTTGGCTTTTGCGGCAATGCCTTTACCTGTTATAATCCAGTAGCACTGACAAATCACCTTTTTGAAGAGGTGGTCAGTGGAGCATGGATGAAGAAATCATTTCAAACGGCCTGAAACTCAAGAAATGGGACCCTTCCTTGCCCGTTGATTTGCGCATTGATGCGACTCTCATCGCTGTGCCCTCTTCAACACTCTGCTATCTAATCACTCGCCACGTATAGACCTGCGGCGAGTGATTAGATAGTCGGTGGGCGTACCCCGCCAACCGCGCCAAGAGAGCCATGCTAGATCGCCGAGGTCAAATCTTTCGCTGCCAATTGCGCGTCGGTCAGCACCCTCAGGAGGTCCGCCTGTCTCCCAACTAGGCAATTTTCCCCTTCTTCGACCTTCGTTCTTATCGTGGAATCCTACTTCAAGAAAGAGTGTTATTCGTCGGAACGTCGTTGTGTTCTGATGTGAGAGAAAATGGAGCAAAATCTCATATAAAAGGCATCATAAAAGGTTTTTCGTAGCTATTATGAATAGCCAGGTCAAATGCAGGTTTTTGAACCGTACGAGTGACGTAGGGAGTTTGTCGTTTCTTACGTATGCGAGTGGTACAGTATATTCGATATAGTTATAGTTCCTACTGACACAGCTATTGTTTCTTGTTTCCAAAAGGTCCATCATAATGTATGCAAGCCATCGGAGCGTAGCAGCCCATCGTATGGTGTAGTGCTGAATTTTCTTCGTGATTCCATTCAAGAGGCAAGGAAGAGGAAGCAGTCACCATAGTGGTAGGATCTGGACAATTGTATTTTCGTATGGAAATATGATGGTGCATTCAGTACGTGTTAATGAAGGCAGGGTGAATGTATTCCAGGTTTAAGATCTGAAAATTAAATAGCTAATAATGTTGAAGCGATACTGTCGCAATTGAAGCATCTCTAGTAACTGTAGCCTTGACATTTTCTTTTCTATGTTGAATAGTTATCTATTGAAAATCTATTAGTTGTTTATCGCTTTGTATATAGTGTACAACATTACTTTGATCAACTCGTTATGTACGTATAAAATTTCTATTGTCGAATTCGGGTCCATTCCTGTGCTAGATATCTCTCTGCTCGGTGGGCGAAATTGGAGCTGGGAAGCAATTTATAAAAGGAATGAAGGATCGCCTCTCCCTGGCTGGGCTGTGTTGACTTCAGTCCCTCACTTCATATATTTCAGTAATCTTTTTTGACCCATTACTTCGACCCAGCTGGCTGATGGCGACATGAATTACGAATTCTTACGCTCGGTTACGCTTTTAAATGAAGAGGTGAACCAACTGCCCTTCTGAACTATTTACTACTGCGACGCTTTCCGAGGTGCGGTAGTAAACAGAACGGTTTACTAAGCTGTTGGGAAGTACTTGTCAACAAAGGCATGTCATTATGGCCGCTCTGGCAGAGCTTATGCCGTGGATTACGGTCGACGTGCACCGTACACTAGGAAGAGCCCACAATCGGGTGTCGGGAAGGGCTGTAAGTTATTGAATAAAATAGTGGAGATCATAATCCTTCGTCCTCTCACAATTCACCAACAAGAGTGGTCGTAACTGCGATGTTCGAAAGGGGATCCATGACGGTGTGTGGAGGATTGGGGTGGAAGCAGGGTCAACCCTACGTTGTTACGAGTAACAACGGGGGGGTCGTACTCAGTTGAGCTTGGAGGGAGGGGGGTCGTACCCTCTCGGTGGCCGACAGTGGGATTCTTGGTAATATCGGATAATAGCCAGCACGTTACGTTTTCGTAAGATGACTGATACTAGAGCATCTATAAACCACGCTTCCCTCTAAATGAGCTTTCAAATGAATCAGCGAATTAGAAGGGCGCCCGAGGCGTGGCGCGCACCAAGGCAAGGGATGTAGTGCAAGCGCATGCTCGAAGCTTTCTAGCACATCCTAAATTAAACATGAAATTGGTCTTCCAAGAAGTTACGGGCAGTGAAACCTAAGAAAACCGCGTTTTCGAGAAAATGGCTTGAAGAATACCCCTCAAAAAAAAAGTAACAACGGGACTAATTTTTGAACTGCTGATCTTTCAGGAACGCTTGGGTGCTCGTTAGAAAGCTTGAATCCTGTAGTTTATTATACGTGTTCAGCTTCCCAAATGAATGACTTTGAAGGAAGTTATGATCGTTTGAAGGTCAAAAAGTCGCTTTGCACAGAAAAAAGTAACAACGTACTAAATTTTTATTAAATTAACTTTCGAAGAATTTTTACCCATGGTTGGAGAGAGAATAATTTGAATTTTCCAAATCAAATCACTTCGGCGCAGAAGCTCGAATATGAAGGAAGTTATAGCCTTAGAAAGAGGGGTGTAAAAATTGTGTTGCAATTGAAGAACGTGAAGGATTTCAGTATTTCAATTGGAGCGATAATTTTTCTGACTTCTCATAAGTTTTTATCAGGTAATATTGTCAATATTCCGGTCACTGGTTCAGTTTATTTCATCTCCTAGTTTGGTAACCCTTTGGAGTACACGGATATCTTTGAATGCATCTCATTTTTTCGTGTTTGGAAGCAGCGATGAATATCTGTCGTGGATTTTGCTAAAGTTTCATCTTTGATGACTTACGTAGAAATAAATATTGATGGTAAACACTGTCTCTACACAAGTGTCACATACAAGGGGGGTCGTATCAAATCACCCATGAAGGGGGGGGGTCGTAAAAAATTTCCAAAGAGTAACAACGATAGGGTTGACCCTGGGTGGAAGGAAATGGAGGGGCGGTGAACCCTTTCAGGGAGGATCATTTTAAATATTCTTTTTTTCAACGTGACGGTCGACTCGGCTAGAGGCATTTGCTTCAGCTAGTATCACTCGGTAAAAGCGCTTGAACAAGTACCTTGCTGCCATCTTCAACTGACCCCCCACTTCTCCACGAAATTTCAAGCTTTTTTAGAAGACTCGCTTGTGTCTTAACCCTTTGACGACAACACGGATTTGCACGTATTGGGCTCGTGGGAAGGGTCAGCCGCCCGTTGCGCAAAGAACAACGAGGGGGTCGTATTCAGCCGAACCGAAAAGGGAGGGGGTCGTATCCACAGACGGGGCTGCAAGACGGCTTGAAAAGTGCAGTGTCCGGGAGTGCACTTTCAGCTCTAATGTTCTCCAGGAGCTCTGCACCGTGCAGCTGTCGGAGAGTCACACAGACAAGAGCTCCATGGGAGCATTAGAGCATGCAGAGCATTATAAGTCTCACTATCAGCCATTATTATCCTTAATACACGGACGGCGCTTTCGCTCGAGCATAGAGAAGATTACAATAGCCAAAAACTTTGTTACAGCGTAGTGCAAAAACATGGTCTGTCTTCGATGATCGAACATTCCTGAAATCCCAAGGAGAACAAAGTGTAGAGCAGTTCATGGGGAAAGTGAAACAAGAGTACCATATAACAGTACAATGCAACTCAATCACGATACTAACACCTTCTTCAGGAAAATGGAGGACTTTCAAATGCGAGTGCGACTTCTGCCACAGACAGGTGCACGGCGTATACCCGAGCAGGCGTTTTCCCACAAAAACGCCTCTGTCAGCGGCCGTAAGCAGACAAACTTCCTGAAGAGAATTTTGATGCTTTCAAATCAAATCTAAGCGGAACAAAGTGTAGCGAATTTGCTGAATTGAATTCTAGAGACCCCTTAGGAAAATTGAGGCAGAAGAAAGAATTTCAGGAAATTTCACACTTGTTATGAAGTACTCTTCGAGTAGATTCTAACAGTCTTTACCGCTTCTCATCACATTAATTTTGAAGGAAGTTATGGGCCTTTGAAGACTGCATAGTCGCGGTCCAGGAAAATGGCTTGAAAAAATCAAGGTGGAAAAAACGGAACAACGGGACTATTTTTTGAGCGAGTGATTTTTTAAAAGTTTTAGCACTTATTCGAAAGCTCTAATCTTCTAGTTTCTAATTAGCCTTAGACATCTGCAAAAAGTTGATATGAAGAAAGTTATGAACGTTTGAATGTCGAAAACTCGCGCCTTCTCAAAAATCGGACCACAAACCCCCCAAAAACGGAACAACGGGACTATTTTTGAGAAAATGATCGCTGGAAAATTTTCAGGTGCTTGTTCGAAAGCGCTAATCTTCTAGTTTCTAATTAGCCTTAGACATCTGCAAAAAGTTGATATGAAGAAAGTTATGAATGTTTGAATGTCGAAAACTCGCGTGTGCACAAAAAACGGAACAACGGGACGATTTTTTGAAATATTGAACATCCGCAACATTTCAAATACTTTTTAGGAAGAAAACTATTTGAATTTTTAAAATTTTGGTGTCCGGTTCCATGAGACCGCTTCTGAAAAAAATATAACCTTCTGAATGGAGGGGTTTGTATTGCAACGTAATTGCTACAAGGTTTAGTTTTTCAGATTATAAAATAAGGAAATTGAGAGATCGAAAAAAATTTGGTAGGTTTCTGAAAGTAGAAATCTTTACGATTAAAATCATGTATTGGTTTACGCAAAAATTTGGAAATTCCTTCTATTTGAATAAAACTTCATGTTGCCTCGATTCCTCCTCTGAGCGAGACAGAGCGCGCGGATTGACCACGGTCCACCACTTCTCCATGTTGGTGACTGCCCATCAGGGTGAATATCGGTCGAGGAAATCCTCGACAGGGGGGTCGTACCTGTTGGGCTGGTCCATGGGGGGTCGTACTCTTGGGGGTCAGTAACAGCAGTGGTATCGTGGTGCAGATAGGTAAGAGGGTATAGCGCAGCAGAAAATGAAAATATCTGAAAAAAACATGATATTAAATTTTCTTTGCAGGTTCAGTCGCTCCATTCCTCCACCTTCATGAGAAGGGCGTATTTGAAGGCAGTACAAAGAATGAAAGTGCATCCCCGCAAAGAAGACTGCCACATGTGCGCACGCGCTGCAAAGGCACCTCCTCTATCGCTCGCTCCTTCTCCCTTAATACCTCGCTGAGAATGACACTGTTGTTAGGGACCCTGTCGCAAAAACGACAACCGTGAAGGAAAAGCCTGGGCAAATGAAGTTGTTCTTCAGGTTGTAGGAGTTACGAAATGCGTTTACTACAATGCAGCTTCTGTCAACTGATGATCATATGACACCTTCGAATCGATTCTGCAACTTCGAGTGAGGTCGGATGCATGGCCTATACTCAGACAAAATTCGATGATGACGATTGCCCCTTTTCCTATTGCTTATGTTGGGAGGATGTTTTCTAGACCCATTTCAAGCGTTGCCAACAATTACACTTGCAATGGTGAAGAGGGAGCGGATTTTCAGGTGGCCGGATCCGTCCTCGATACATACTCGACGCAGATATCTTCTCAACTAGGAAATGTAGAAGAAAGCTAAGAAGACCATCAGAAAGCGCAAACCTTCTTTCCAAAACTATCTTCCCTTTTTCAGGATCTTACGAATTAGAGAGATATTGCTTTTGAAGTGGCAAAAACTCGCATGAAAATTTCAGCATCCTCGACGTTTACTCGACGAAATTTGAGAGACCCTATCTTTCTGCATGGAAGGCTTTCAGAGCAATTTCAATACTTCTTGGAAACGCGAAATCCAGCTCTATCTAACCCTACCTCAAACTGCTTCAAAGGTTATGAAATGGAGGAATGCAACCTTTTCATCGAGGGTGTAGATTTCGACGTTTTTTTTTCGGGATTTCGGCAAATCTGACCCAGTGACAATCGCGCCGCAGCTGCCGTTGAATCGGCCTTGATTGATACACTCGGCTGTTTTGATATACTCAAGCAAGAATCAAGATTGAAT